CCGGTGGCACATCCTTCGGAGTCGTCCGAAGCTGAGCGACAGAGCAAAAGTGCATGAGTGCAACAATGAGAAGGAGAGTGGATGGCTGGCGCAAGCGGAAGGCAAGAGTGGTGTTGCGCCGACCTCGATGTACTTGACGTTCTCCTCTGCAAAGTCCTCCAACACCTACATGCCGACAAGTAAGCCAGGTGAGATTGACTCTGTGGTCACTGCTTCTTCCATCATTGTGCACAGCAGGTAATGCAGTGTGGTACCTCTCGAGTGATTCGCTTGATGACGTCCAGAGAGTTGGTGAGCTTGTGGATCAAGCCGAACACCTGGAAGCACCTGGCGACCGCCACACAACCCGATACGTCGCGTACACATAGCGTCAGCAAACAAGGCCTTGTAGGTTAGAGGACCTAGCAGCGGCCGTACTCCTCGAGGCTGCGGTTGTGTTGGAAGAGGTAGGCCGGCAGGTCCGCCTCGACACCAGCGTCTGTAGCGCCCTGTCGCTTCCGCTTGGCCTTCAACAGGTCCACCACCGTGGCATCTCGCAGCGAGCCATTGAGATGGGCGTGCAGCTCCTTAATCTGTGCAAACAATTAATTCAATTTGATTATCCTCAATTCGCTTAAGAAATTTGATAAGATGTACACCATCGCTCCACGTACGATTTTGGGGATCGCTCGGTAGACTTCTTCGTCTTGCGCCGACTCCATCTCTAAAACAACGGGTCAAAAATGGGGGGGAAAAAGCAAAGAAAAAGCCGACAAAAAGCAAAACAAAACCAAGCAGATGGCACACCACAGCGGGCCGCCACCGATGATGCACTGGTGCCCCTACTCGAATCAGTACCAGTATGCCTACGCCGAACCCCCACCACCAGTACTACTTGCCCCGCCCGGCACACAACCACACGGCGACGCGAGTGAGACACCTGCCCCGTTACAACCGTACCAACGCAAGAGGAAGCTGCCACCAAGTGCAGCACAAGAACCAAAGACAGGCACTTACTTGCCCTCTTACGTCGGTAGCTATTTTATTTATATTTTATTATTTGGTATTGTTCTTTAGCATGTTCTTATCTCTTGGCAGTACTGCCGCTGCTTGAGGAACCATCACCACGAAGACCGGATGTCACGGGCAATGGCCGGGCAGATGCCGACCGGACAATGACAACCACAACTACGCCGGCGGTCGGGACTGCAGGCGAAGGAGAGGTGAGGAAGAAGAAACAACGAGTGCAGAAGACGAAGCTCTTTGGCAGGACGCACTGGGTGGTGAAGGAGGACGAGGAGGAGAAAGGGCGGGAGACTGCAGCCCAGCATCAGAGCGCAGTCTTGGCCTCCATCAAACAGACACTCGGTAAGTAATGCGTGTGTAGTGTTGCGTGTGTGTGTGGCACCTGTAGACCAATCTCAACGGGTCGGTCTGGTACAACAACACAGCTGCCGGCGGCAAGGCGTCCAAGGCGCAGAAGAAGGCGATGGCCAGAGATCCCGCTGTGCTGGCCAAGCTGCCCACGCCCAAGTTCGTGGACGCCCGCATTGGGCGAGGTATGCACAACAACCAAGACTTCCACTTAGTATTGCTTATCGGTTGCTTCCTCCCCGCCAAACGATCTGCACTTGCGTAACATACGCACGTCAGGAGTCAAGCCGGACGACGCCAAGAGAGCCGAACAACTCCACTCGCGCAAGTTGATAGGGACACAGGTACCGTTGCCTCTTCCCCAGACACTCCACCCAGAACTCACCAGCGCGCACACCGTCATCGCCCTTCTGTAGTACCACTTGGCCACACGAGGAGGCGGGAGTGCAGCTCTCCGAGCGAGCAACCATCGACCGAACAGCCGCGGGTGACCTTTTTTTTAACCCTTTTACCCTCTCTCCCTATTTTGTAACTAGAAAACATTAAGAAACTACATTTCTTTCCAAAAGAAAAGATTGAGCCGCAAAGATGAAGCTCAATCTGCCGCCCCCTAAGAATTCGACGGCTTCTGAGGGATCTGTGCCTGCTGGGACACCCGCCTCAGCTACGGCTACGGCTACGCCTTCGTCGTCGGTGCTGCCTCCGCTGCCGGCTTCATTCTTTACCCCTTCAGCCGCCCCGCCCCCTGCACAAATCCCCCTGCATCACGTTCCTCTCCCAACACCAGACTTTTTGCCCCTTCTGCCCCACACTCACGAACCAGGTACTACCTCCCCTCGTTCTTTCCTCCCTGCGCGGCGTGCTTCCTCGCGTTTCTTTCATCGCCTCTGCATGGTTCTGGTTTTCCACGGCCACTTCAAGGAAAGCCATCACGCTTCCCTCTTGTCATCGAGGCAGCTCTCAGGGTCACTGATCTCGTCGTGCGTTTCTGCCCTCACGGTGCCTCTGCATGGCCAGTTCCTGGTGGGCGATCAGACAACTGGCGCGGCCCACACCAGGGACGAGGAGGAAGAGGACGAGGAGGACGTGGCGGCTGGGGCCAGAGGGACAACCAGAGATCCTTCGGTGGCGGCGGCGGCGGCGGCGGCGGCAACAACAACTGCTTCAACTGTGGTGAGCCAGGACACATATCGAGAGAGTGTCCATCGGGCGGCGGCGGCGGCAGAGCTGGTCGAGGAGGCAGAGGCGGGCGTGGCGGTGGGCACAAGAGGTCGAGAGACGGGGACCAACATGGGAATAACCAACGACATCCAGGAGGCGGGGGCCACCACGCACAGTACGTAGGGAGTTCTCTATCTCACCTCCGCACACTTTTCTGTGTGGCTTGAGAGATCTCTCCGCGAGGGAACACACGCTAGCGTGGCGAGTATTCACGCGTTTGTTACCATCAGTGGTGATCATTCTCACCATTTGCACGCTTGAACAGGGGACCCTATTTCAAGCCTTCCTTTCTACAAGACCCCTGGCGAGAGCTCCTCGGGCAAAAGGGGCTACTGCAGCTGCCCCACGGAGCACCAGCACAACCAGCCGTGCACCCCACCAGCCTCGCGCCAGTGCCCC